GGTCCGGCAATTCCCACTGCGATCTGGCACTTGCGGTTGAGGTCCGGTAGTGCCCACTGGAATCTGGCGCTTGCTGTTGAAGTCTGGTAGTGCCCACTGCGACGTGGCACTTGCTGTTGAGGTCTGGTAGTGCCCACTGCGATCTGGCACTTGCTGTTGAGGTCCGGTAGTCCACTGCGACGTGGCACTTGCTGTTGAGGTCTGGTAGTGCCCACTGCGATCTGGCACTTGCTGTTGAGGTCCGGTAGTCCACTGCGACGTGGCACTTGCTCTTGAGGTCTGGTAGTGCCCACTGCGATCTGGCTGTTGAGGTCCGGTAGTCCACTGCGATCTGGCACTTGGAGTTGAGGTCTGACACTGCCCACTGCGATCTGGCGCTTGCAGGAGGAGGAGGAGGAGGAGGGCTCTGAAAGCCCTGACAATCTTTATGTGCAGACCTCCACCCAAGTTCTTTGTCGCACTTGCAGTGCACCTCATCGTAGCCAACACTTGCAGGTTGGTGTGCGCGTGTGTTTGCTTGGTTGTTTGTTTGTTTGCTTGTTCGTATGTGGGTGTGCGGGCCTGCGGGCCTGCATGATCTTTGCAGAGAGTCGCGTTTGGTGAGCCCCGCCATAACACCCTGCCGCTGTAAGAGAAGTACTGTAGTGTAAAGAATGTCGAAGTTGTGTGCGACTTGTGGAAACTTTTTGCATCTGTACTTTTACATCTCTGTTATCAATTTATACACCTGCATTTTTACACCTGTAGTTATACAACTGCATTTCTACGCCTGCTCGACCTGCATTTGTACACCTGTGATTTTTATACCGTACACACCTTGATAAACACCTGTATTTCTTTCAGCACACACACACACCTATGTTTACACAGCTTCATACACATCTGTATCTACACATGGTGATGGCAATGATGCAGTGTGTGTTCTTGATGTTTTCTGGAAACTTTGTTCTCGCAGGTGACCCTCCTACATCTCTGAACCTATATCATGATGTAGTTGGACAACCACTGCCTCACGATAAGTGGCAAAGAAAGGTGATGCCAAAAGGTTCCACATACTATTTTGAAGGTCCGATTTTTTCTGCAGTTTCGTGTGCCTGATGTGAGCAAAGCGTGTATTCGCGATATTCGAACAACATTTGCAATGCATGTGGTTTCAATTTTCGGTGAACTCTATTTGCATGTTCAGGATCTCACCTCGATCGGGTCGTAGCCCTGCACGAACATTGGAGCCAGGAAGGCAGCTGACGGGTGCGACCGCGCGTTCCTGTATCCAAAGAACACAAATTCAAAACATCACAAAACCGAATAGATGAGTCAGATTGGTATTTTACTGCTCTGACCTGATCAGGGATGCAAGCCCAAATGGCCACGGCGACTGGCGTATCCCTTGGCGAGCATTGTTCATGGTGCCCACTCTGTTCCAATGCACGGCTGTTGAATCTAGTCGAGTCTCCTGACAGTGACAGGGCAGTCTTTGCTCTTGTTACTCTTGTTGGAATAACCAAGCATGCCTCAAGGGAGCACATGTCCGTGACTTTTCTTGAGGCTCAATGACACCTTGGAATCTATAGGGCTGTGATGCAGCAAGCTCAGTGGTCCAAACTTGCGCGCCGATAGATTTGGGAAACGTGGAGCGATGGGAAAGTAGGCATTTGGAGCGCCGGCTGGGACGGATTTGTGCCATTGGTTTACCAAGATATATAACCTTTCGGAAGTTGACAAATATGTTCAAGTCATATCAGAGGCCCACTTGCTTCCAGTGCGGAGTGCAGGCACTGAGCAAGATAGGTTCTCAATTAGGTACCCTTTTTTGTACACCGGAAGATTGAAGCTGCCGCTAGATCTTGGAAGCTTTTACACCTACCAGGTGTGTTTGGGTCACATAGTCGTGGTACTGCCTGGCATGTGTCTCAAAATACTTTCTCCGCATGGTTAGTTCATGTTGGCACAGGGTTCTTTGATTTGCCTGAACTGTCCCAAACCTGCCGGTAGGCCAGTGTTTACTGCACTTCGGTGGTATCGCTGCATATGCCCAAAACTGGGTTTGCTTCGTGCGATACTGAATTGCCACCATTTCCGCAGCAAAGCTCTGCAAGCGCTCCTTTGTTGAGAGAACACATGGTAAAACTCTACAAAGCCCATCAGAGCAAGCGCGGTGCCTTGGCAGTTCTTGAGTTGCAACGTGTAATTTAGCACATGTGGTCGGAGTGCTTTGCTCAAGGTTAGCAAGGATTTATATATTCAGACTGCAGAACCAACAAGACTGGCTTCCAAACTTTCACCAAAAAACTCTTGTGGGTGTCAACTTGTTAGTAGAATTAGAAAAGCATGAGCCCTCGCTCTTTCTCTCTCGTGCCTGAGACAATCATTCTCAAGCGGTCCTGAGAGACAAGTCACGAGTTTGCTGTTTAGAAGGTCCATCGACATTTCAGGCAAGGGCCCTTGGAATTCTTTGTCACTCTTACTCTCTGGCTCGGGCTGGCCAGCGGCGTGGGGCAGAAAGAACGTTCAAAATATCACAACTCGTGGCCAGCATGGACCCATATATTACTGTACCCAATAAAGAAAACTCCTTGGTGCCAAGTGCCGCACTCTGAATTTGTTTTTAGACCGTTATTGTGAGTGAATTTCCAGTTGCCAAACTAAACCCCGAATCGTTAGCATCAAAGAAGCCTGTGGAAGAGCGGTCTAACCGATTCCGTTTTGCTGCTTGACATATTTGCCAGGTGGGCATGGAAGAGGAAGAACAAAAGTTAGTCAAAGCCCAAGAAGGGGGCTTGCCAGTGCTACACAGCGATGGACGAGGTTGCTGTATAGTGCATCGGTACGATATGATACACGGAAGATAGACATCGCATACACATGCGATACACACGCGATTAAGTTTCTCCAAAAATCTAATCATTAGTGCGAGCGCTTCTTCAAGGAAACTCCCCCCCGCCTGTGAAGCGTGAACTATCCTGAGTCCAGTTACTGTACTAGAAGCGTCTCAGGAGCTAGTAGCTACCTCTCCCTGCTAGCTTAGCTACCTTGACCTCGGCCTACCCCCCCCGGGCTTAAAAAGTATGGTGACCACGGTTAGACCAATGAATCTGCACTGAGCAGGTCATCGGCATAGACTTAGGAACAGCTGACTCTTGTGCAAGGGCCTGAGAACAGTTTACCCTCGAAGACTGCATTGAACTTTAAGTTGTGCTTTAAGTTTAACTGCGTTTACTCAGTGTACTCTTTGTTCGTTTAGATTTTTTAGTTGTTTCGCTTTCTTATGTCCAATGCATTCAACGCTTGGATGGTTGATCAGCATTTGAGGTTTCATACATTCGAGGAGGAGCCATTGAAGTAGTTCAAAATGAGGCTGTGCTGTATTCGTGTTTTCAGTGGTGGCCAGCTGCTGGGAAGCTCCAAAGCAGACCTTGGTGCCGAACATGAAGAGCAACAACTGAGATTCAAAGCTCAGCAGATGAACACACGCAAGTACCCGTACCCACTTCCCAGCTTGACCATGTTGGGCGGCACTGGTCAGCCAGATGAAAAGGAGTATGTCTATTTCAGCCCTTGTCGCCTTACATGTCAAAAGTTTACAATCATCGGATCACACCATGAAATTCTGACAGTTGAATCTGTAAAGGTGAATGAGCGGAAAACACCAAGCCTGGCTTGAATCTCAGAAGGGTTCCTTTACATAGGCTCTTCGCTCTCCTACATGCGATGCACTGCATAGTTGCGCGTCAGAACCAAGACTTCCCTTTCACCTGGAGCGGACGCCTATATGAACAACTCAACGGGTTGCAACCAATATCTTAATATTTAGACTCAATTAGACATATATGTATATACTGTGTATATATATATATATATATATTCACGTCGCTTCGTGACGGTAACCGCCCGCAC